ATGTGAATGAGGTCATCTTAGACCCTCCATCATGACTGCAGTCTCATGAATGAGCTGGGCCAGACTAGTAGAAGCAGCAGCTATTCAATCCACAGAAAAAAAATGGTGAGAAATAAAAGAATATTATGTTAAGCCACTAAGTTTTAAGGTGATTTGTTATGCAGCAAAAGATGACTAAAACATAAATGTTGCTGGAGTTGCTAATAGTTCTATCTTTATAAAAATAGTGAATAGAGCCCTGGATGGTTTTGCTCAGTGGATAGAGCATCATCCTATGGACTGAAGGGTCCCAGGTTTGGTTCTGGTCAAGGGCACATGCCCAGGTTGCAGGCTCGATCCCCAGTGGGGAGTGTGCATGAGGCAGCCGATCAATGATTCTCTCTCATTATTGATGTTTCTATCTCTCTCTCCCTCTCCCTTCCTCTCTGAAATCAATTTAAAAAAATTTAAAAAAAGTGAATAGAATTTAAATTGTCAAAAAATTTAAACATTCAATTTTAAGAAATTTTGATCCAAATTATTGATATTGATTAATTAGTATTTGTATTTTCCTTTTAATTTTAATGGTTTTGAATAGTTTATATTTGATCTTAACCAGAAGGCTGAGAAGTGATGGTTTTGAATAGTTTAGAAGAAAAATAACTTTAACATTAGTTCGATTTATGTTTTTATAAAAATTTATTTAAAAAGTTTGTATACATTGAATAGTTACATTTATTATTATTTTTTGCTGTTTCTTTAAAAAAATTTTTTTTCAATCTTTAATTTATTGATTAAGGTATTACATATGTGACCTCATTCCCCCCATAAACTCCCCCAACTCATGCCCTCGCCCCCCTGTTGTCTGTGTCCATTGGTTGGGCTTATATGCATGCATACAAGCCCTTTGGTTGATCTCTCCCGCTTACCCCCACCCTCCCCTACTTTCCCTCTGAGGTTTGACGGTCTTATCACTGCTTCTCTGTCTCTGGATCTATCCCTTTTCATGAGCCTATGTTGTTCACTATATTCCACAAATGAGTGAGATCATGTGGTATTTATCCTTCTCTGACTGGCTTATTTCATTTAGCATAATGCTCTCCAGTTCCATCCATGCTGTTGCAAATGGTAAGAACTCCTTTTTTACCGCAGTGTAGTATTCCATTGTGTAGATGTACCACAGTTTTTTAATCCACTCATCTGCTGACATTTATTTTTAACTCTTTGAGTAATCACTATTGTCAATTGAATACAAATTATGTAAAAATCTTCATTAGAACATTATTTAAAATTTTGCTGAAACAAAAATAAATTTTATGGAGGAAATAAACAACAATTCATGAATTATGTATATATTGTATGACCCATTCCAAGTTGTCTTTGCCATTTTGCCAACTTTTAGTCATACGAAACCATTGTGTTACACATATTTAAAATGTCTTATCATTACAAACATGTATTTGTCAAGGTAAAAGGAGATAGTGTATTTTATTTAACAATAAGTTAGTTTGATTTTTAACTTTTAAATATTTAGTTCCTTGGTATGTGCTTATCTATACTCCTGCCCAAGCCCTGCAAATGTTATGATCTTTCCTTCAACCATTTGACGCATATATTTATTTACCTATTCGTCAGCTCCACCTATTTGCCTACAAGAATTTCAGAATCAGCTTGTCCACAACTAAATTCATCATCTTCCTCTACTAAACCTCTTTCCTCTTTTTAAAAAAATTTTATTTTAGCCCTAACCGGTTTGGCTCAGTGGATAGAGTGTCAGCCTGCGGACTCAAGGGTCCCGGGTTCGATTCCGGTCAAGGGCATGTACCTTGGTTGCAGGCACATCCCCAGTGGAGAGTATGCAGGAGGCAGCTGATCGATGTTTCTAACTCTCTATCCCTCTCCCTCCTCTCTGTAAAAAATCAATAAAATATTAAAAAAATTATTTTATTATTTAAAGTATTACAAATAGTAGTACATAATGTCTTCTTTTTTTCTCCATTGACCTTCCCCCAGTCTCCCCTACCCCCCGTCCCCCCCCTCCCCCCTCCGCCCAGTGTCTTCACACCTCTTTCCTCTTATGGTGACTTCTCTGGAAAGCATCCTCGGTTTCCTCACCTAGTTACTCTCCCTTAACTTTCTACACGATTCTCCCGTCAGTCCTCCTCCCTCATGTTTACCACACCTGCCAGAGTTTGGGCCATGAGAGGCAGTATCACCCGGAGGAGTGCTCCTCAAACTTCAGGTGCTTTGGCGTTACCTGGCCCACAGGGCATGTTAAAACACGGGGCTCCTCCCCCAGAGTTTATGCTTCGGTGGGTCTGGGCTTGCACCTGATAATCTGCATTTCTAATGAGTTCCTCGGTGCTGCTGCTGCTGGTCCAGGACTGCACTTGGGGATCTACAGGCCACGAGGCTGACGTCCAATGTTACTCCTCTTATTCACTCTGGGACCGTAGGCAAGTTTCTTAGTTTCTCAGCTTGTTTCCCATCTATCTAATAGTGACCCACCTTTGAGAGTTGAGTTCAGTGAGCTAATCCAGGTAAAGCACTTAATATAAAAAGCCTGGACAAGTAAGGGTTTGATAAATGGTAGCTACTTGGTGACTCATCATGTTTCTCCTGGATCTATAAAACCATCCGAGTGATTGCCCTCTATCTCTGACCACAATCTCTTCCTTCCTATTCATGCCTACCCAGTAACATTTGAACACATTATATCTCTTCCAATTCAAAAAAACAAACCCTAGTTTGGCTTTGACTCTATTCCTTTCTCTAGCCACCCTATCTCAATCCTCTTCGTCATCTCTGAGCATCTTGAAAGAACTGTCTAAGATTGCTGTCTCTACTTCTCCTGTTATAACTCACTCTTCAGTCCATCATCGCCTGGCCTGTGCTTCCTCAGTCCCCGAAGCCAGCTCTCTCTAGAATAACAAATGGCTTCCCCTCATTGCCAAATCTCCTGGACAGTGGATCGCAATATGACATTTAATGCTGCTGACACATCTTCTGTAGGAGGCAGTTTCAAAAATCCCAGTGATTTCCACCTCCTGGTATTCACTCCCTTTTGTAAAACCCCTCCCCTTCTGTGTGGGCTGAGCCTGGTGACTTTCTTCTAAGGAACAGAATAGGGCAAAAGTGAGATGAGAAGACATGGTACTTCCAAGATAAAGTCATAACAAACTTGCTTGCACTCTTTCTCTGATTCTTCCTGCCTGTTTGCTCTGTGAAGCGAGCTCCCCTGCTGTGAGGTGCCCTGTGGAGAGATTCATAGGAGAAGGACCTGAGGCCCTCTTCCTGACAGTGCTCTGAGATCGAATCGTGCCAACAATTAGAACAGTTTGCCAACAGTTTGGAAGAGGATCACTCCCTAGTCAACCCTTCAGATGAGATGGCAGCCTTGGCTGACACCTTGACCGCAGCCTTGCAAGATACTTGGACATAGAGGGCCCAGCTGAGCAGTGCTGGATTCCAGACCCCCCGCAGAGAGTGAGGAGACAAGTGTTCTTTGTTTTAAGACACTAAGATTTGGGGTAATTGTTACACAGCATAGATAACTAATAGATCTTCTCCCCCCCTTCCCCCTTTGTTTTAGATCTTCCTTCTTAAAACGACTTTTCCATGGACTTCCACAGCTCCTGGTTTTCCCTAATTCTCTGTCTCCTCTCTCTCTCTCTCTCTCTCTCTCTCTCTCTCTCTCTCTCTCTCTCTCTCTCTCTCTCATGGGTTCTTCTGATGTTGCTGCCTCTCACCTTCCACTGTATCTTTAGATTCTTCTTTTCTTTCTACAGACATTTTCTTGAAAGTGTCACCCCTTCAAATGCCATCTATAATCCAGTGACACGCAGATTTAGTATATCTCCAGCTCTTTTGAGTGCCAGGCCCATATATTCAACTACCTAACAGTCATTCTCACCTGAACGTTGGTCGTACAGACACAGACTCAGCATGTCCCAAACTGAACTTGTTCTTTCCTACCCTATTCTGCCTCCTCCTGCGTTTTCTGCCTCAGGGAGCCACCAGCCACTCAGGTGCTCAGAGCAGAAACCTAACAATCACCTGTCATTTCTTTATTCACCAGATATTTATGGAGCACCTAAAGTGTACCAAGAGTGCTCTAGGCTCAGGGAGAGTTTATATTCTTGTGAATAGACAGACAATGAAGATAATAAATAAATTATATCGCATGAGATCTATCTATATCTCTCTTTCTGTATATATTTCTATATCTATATCATCTATATCGATAACATGAAATGGCATTGGGAAAAATTGAACAGGCAGACAAATGAATGGCATGGGAGGTGAACTGCAATATTAGACGATGTCAGCATAGGCTCCGTGGAGAAGAAGGCACTTGAAGGAAGCAAGGACTCTGCTATATGAATATTTGGGGAAAGAGCATTTCAGGAAGTGGGGACAGCTGGTTCAAATGCCTTGACCAGAAACTTAACTGGGAGTATGAGGAACAGCAAGCTGGCCAGTGTATCTGGAACAGAGAGCCCGGGGGAGATTACTAGTGAGGTACTCAAGCCCAGATCATGTATAGCCTTACTGGCCATTGTAAGGATTTTGGCTTTTACTTGAGCTCAACAGGGAACCCAAGAAAGGCTGCGGAGTGGAGAAATCATATGATCACTCTGGTTGCTATATTTAAAACAGGCTACGGAAAAATTATTCCTCTTCTTTGTATCTCTCAGCCTCCAAATCTTTTCTTTTCTCACTCAGCCCCTGTTTATTTTTATGTCTTAAATATGTCTGGAACCCATCTACTTCTCTTAATTTCTTTTGTCATTACCTAAGTCAAGCCAACGAGAACCCTCATTCATTCATTCAACTAGTACTTATTGAACAGCTACTGTGTTCTAGGCACTATTCCTCTTCTCAGTGCTTGGGACACAGCAGTAAAAAGATAGCCTGTGTGGAGCTTACATTTCTCCCTTGGATTTATTGCTTTTAAAAACTTGCCATTGAAGAGCTGAAGCAGGCGCTCCTGGCTCGGCGCGGCCCGCTGCAGTCCGTGGAGGAACGCGCCGCGAGCCACCATCATGCCTGGGCATTTACAGGAAGGCTTCGGCTGCGTGGTCACCAACCGATTCGACCAGTTATTTGACGACGAATCGGACCCCTTCGAGGTGTTGAAGGCAGCAGAGAACAAGAAAAAAAAAGCCGGCAGGGTTGGTGTTGGGGGCCCTGGGGCTAAGAGCGCAGCTCAGGCCGCAGCCCAGAACAACTCCAATGCGGCAGGCAAACAGCTGCGTAAAGAGTCCCAGAAAGAACGCAAGAACCCGCTGCGGTCCAACGCCGGCGTGGCTGACAAGGAAGAGGAGACGCAGCCGCCCGTGGCGCTTAAGAAAGAAGGAATAAGACGTGTTGGAAGAAGACCTGATCAACAACTTCAGGGTGAAGGGAAAATAATTGGTAGGAGACCAGAACGGCGACCACCTCGTGAAAGACGATTTGAAAAGCCACTTGAAGAAAAGGGTGAAGGAGGAGAATTTTCAGTTGATAGACCGATTATTGACCGGCCTATCCGAGGCCGTGGTGGTCTTGGAAGAGGTCGAGGAGGACGTGGACGCGGAATGGGCCGAGGAGATGGATTTGACTCTCGTGGCAAACGTGAATTTGATAGGCATAGTGGAAGTGATAGATCTGGTCTGAAGCACGAGGACAAACGTGGAGGTAGCGGATCTCACAACTGGGGAACTGTCAAAGATGAATTAACTGACTTGGAGCAACCAAATGTGACTGAGGAAACACCAGAAGGTGAAGAACATCCAGTTGCAGACACTGAAAATAAGGAAAACGAAGTTGAAGAAGTAAAGGAAGAGGGTCCAGAAGAAATGACTTTGGATGAGTGGAAGGCTATTCAAAATAAGGACCGGGCAAAAGTAGAATTTAATATACGAAAACCAAATGAAGGTGCTGATGGTCAGTGGAAGAAGGGATTTGTTCTTCATAAGTCAAAGAGTGAAGAGGCTCACGCTGAAGATTCGGTTATGGACCATCATTTCCGGAAGCCAGCAAATGATATCACATCTCAGCTGGAGATCAATTTTGGAGACCTTGGCCGCCCAGGACATGGTGGCAGGGGAGGACGAGGTGGCCGTGGGCGTGGAGGACGTCCAAACCAAGGCAGCAGGACTGACAACTCAAGTGCTTCTGCTCCTGATGTAGATGACCCAGAGGCATTCCCAGCTCTGGTTTAACTAGATGCCATAAGATAACCCTGGTTCCTTTGTGGACCCTACTTCTCTGAGGTTTTGCATGCTTAAGGATCCCAACCGTCTAAGAAATTAAAAAAAAAAAAAAAGACTGTCATTCATACCATTCACACCTACAGACTGAATTTTATCTGTTTTGAAAATGAACTTCTCTCGCTACACAGAAGTAACAAATATGGTAGTCAGTTTTGTATTTAGAAATGTATTGGTAGCAGGGATGTTTTCATAATTTTCAGAGATTATGCATTACTTCATGGATATTTTGTATTGCTGCTTGCAAATATGCATTTCCAAACTTGAAATATAGGTGTGAACATGTGTACCAGTTTAAAGCTTTCACTTCATTTGCGTTTTTTAATTAAGGATTTAGATGTTCCCCCAGTTACAGACCGGTTTTAAATATTGGACATAATATCCGTTTTAGTACCTGCTTTGCATTTACACATATGGTCAACTGGGACATGTAAACTCTGATTGTCAAAATTTATGCTATGTGGAATACTAATGACTTTACGTATTTTAACTTAGTTTTAATATTTTTATTTCTGGGGAAAATCCTTTTTCACTTCTCATGATAGCTGTTATATGCTAAATCTTTATATACAGAAATATCAGACTTGAACAAATTCAAAAACAAACAAACAAACAAAAACTTGCCATCTCCAGCCAATCAATGATTCTCTCTCATCATTAATGTTTCTGTCTCTTTCTCCCTCTCCCTTCCTCTCTGAAATCAATAAAAATATATTTTAAAAAATAAATTAGGGCAATGAAAACTAAAGGGAAAATAAACAAATGGGACTACATCAAAATAAAAAGCTTTTGCACAGCAAAGGAGACCATCAACAAAACAACAAGAAAGCCCACTGCATGGGAGAACATATTTGCAAATGTATCACCGATAAGGGTTTAATCTCCAACATTTACAGGGAACTCATACAAGTTAACAAAAGGAAGATAAACAACCCAATCAAAAAATGGGCAACGGACCTAAATAGATACTTTTCGAAAGAAGACAGAAGAAAGGCCAAAAGACATATGAAAACATGTTCAAAGTCACTAATCATCCGAGAGATGCAAATCAAAACGACAATGCAGTACCATCTCACACCTGTCAGAAAGGCTATCCTGAACAAATCAACAAACAACAAATGCTGGAGAGGATGCGGAGAAAAAGGAACCCTTCTGCACTGCTGGTGGGAATGCAGACTGGTGCAGCCACTGTGGAGAACAGTATGGAGTTTCCTCAAAAAACTAAAAATGGAACTCCCATCTGACCCAGTGATCCCACTTCTAGGAATATATCCCAAGAAACTAGAAACACCAATCAGAAAGGATTTATGCACCCCTATGTTCATAGCAGCACAATTCACCATAGCTAAGATTTGGAAACAGCCTAAGTGCCCAACAGTAGATGAATGGATTAAAAAACTGTGTTACATCTACACAATGGAATACTATGCTGCAGTAAAAAAGGAGTTCTTACCATTTGCAACAGCATGGATGGAACTGGAGAACATTATGCTAAGTGAAATAAGCCAGTCAGAGAAAGATAAATATCACATGATCTCACTCATTTATGGAATATAATGAACAACATAAACTGATGAACAAAAACAGATCCAGAGACAGAGAAGCATCGATCAGACCATCAAACCTTAGAGCGGTGGTTCTCAACCTGTGGGTTGCAACCCCTTTGGCAGTCTAACGACCCTTTTACAGGGGTCGCCTAAGACCATCCTGCATATCAGATATTTACATTACGATTCATAACAGTAGCAACTTACAGTTACGAAGTAGCAACGAAAATAATTTTATGGTTGGGTCACAACATGAGGAACTGTATGTAAAGGGCCAGAAGGTTGAAAACCACTGCCTTAGAGGGAATGTAGGGGAGGGTGGGAGTAAGGGGGAGAGATCAACCAAAGGACTTACATGCAAGCATATAGGCCAGTGATGGCGAACCTATGACATGCGTGTCAGAGGTGACACGTGAACTCATTTTTTTTTTTTTGGTTGATTTTTCTTTGTTAAATGGCATTTAAATATATAAAATAAATATAAAAAATATAAATCTGGAATGACAGCGCATGTGGATCGGCGGCCACCTCTCGGATTGGGTTGTTTGGGACTCGGAAGAAGACTTGTTTGTGACTTTGCCAGCAGGTCAGTCTGAGGCTTAACCCTATATCAGCTCCCCACATCTGTTAAAAGATCAATACAGATTCTTTTTTTCTTTAGACTCAGTATGGCACATCTTCTCAATCTAAGTTCTGTACTATCCACCTTCTTACCCTACTTATCCTCTATAGAGGGGTCTGCAGTACCCTGGTGGAATCCTATCCGTCCCGAGTGTTGGGGTTCTCAATGTGCGGGGGGGCTTACCTAGGGGAATCCTGTTCCAGGGGTTCCCAAAGGTGTGGACGGAGTCGGCGAAGACTATCCACCCTCTTCCTACAGTGGAGTCCTATCCGTCCCAAGAGTGGGGCTTACCTAGGGGAATGGGGGGCTTACCTAGGGGTCCTTGTTTGGGCGCCGATGTGGGGTTGGGCCTCGGACTGACCTGTTGGCGGGGTCACAAGTGGGTCTTCTGAGTCTAGAATAGCCCAGTCTGGGGAGTGGCCGCTGATTTGCACGCACTGTCATTTAGAAAGTGAAGATGGGGGAATTTGCCGGAAGCCTGTCCACCCTTGCTGCTTGGCGCAGTCGCTGCGGGGAGGAGACATCTGCACGGCTTGTGTTTTGGGGGACCTGGCGTGTGTGGCATATGTTTGCTTCCCCTCTTAACGCTATGTGTTTTAAACAGGATCACCTCCCCGAGAAAGGTTGTTTCCCCAGGTGAGGATTTTTCCCTGGAGTTAGGGAGGGAATTAAACCCCTTAACTAAGTGCCAGGCGGGTAATTAATCACTTTAACTATGAACAATCACGCTTAAGCTACATAATCTTTACTTAGGATAATCTCCTTCAGTTACTTCCTTGTAGCTTAATAGAACAATAGAGTAACCTTGGAATGGAGATAAGAAACGCCCTAACCTTTGGAATAGAATGGATAGGATTAAAATCAACTGGTATAAATACAGATGTAACAAGACAATCAAGACAGAACTTGGCTGGAGATCCTGGCTAGAGAACCTGGCTAGGCTGCTGATCAACTGAATGCTGTCTCTGTGTCATTCCTTCTTCGCCGACTCCATCCACACCTTTGGGAACCCCTGGACCTGCTGGGGTTGGACCCCAACAATTTTATAAACTACCAACTTTTAAAAAAATTAAATCTATTGAGGGTTGGGGAGGGAGGGCTGCTGAGCAACCATCACCAACAGCAGTGGCCCCAAGGCAGAGGCTCCAGGAACCAGGCACAGCAACTACACAGAAAAGATGGGCAATGATGACAAGAAGCCAACAACTAAATTTGAACTAGAGCGAGAAACAGAACTTCGCTTTGAGGTGGAAGCGTCTCAGTCGGTTCAGTTGGAGCTGCTGGCTGGCATGGCAGAAGTCTTTGGCACCGAGCTGACCCGGAACAAGAAATTCACCTTTGATGCTGGTGCCAAGGTAGCTGTTTTCACTTGGCACGGCTGTTCGGTACAGCTGAGTGGCCGCACCGAGGTGGCTTATGTCTCCAAGGACACCCCTATGTTGCTTTACCTCAACACTCATACAGCGTTGGAGCAGATGCGGAGGCAGGCGGAGAAGGAAGAGGAGCGAGGCCCCCGGGTGATGGTAGTGGGCCCCACCGATGTGGGCAAATCCACAGTGTGCCGCCTGTTGCTCAACTACGCAGTGCGTTCAGGCCGCCGGCCCACTTATGTGGAGCTGGATGTGGGCCAGGGCTCTGTGTCTATCCCTGGTACCATGGGGGCTCTCTACATTGAGCGGCCGGCAGATATTGAACAAGGATTCTCCATCCAGGCCCCGCTGGTGTATCATTTTGGCTCCACCACTCCTGGCACCAACATCAAGCTTTATAAGAAGATTACATCTCATCTAGCAGATGTGTTCAACCAAAGGTGTGAAGTGAACCGAAGGGCTTCTGTGAGTGGCTGTGTCATTGACACCTGTGGCTGGGTCAAGGGCTCCGGCTACCAGGCCCTGGTGCATGCAGCTTCAGCCTTTGAGGTCGATGTGGTTGTGGTTCTGGATCAAGAACGACTTTACAATGAACTGAAGCGGGACTTGCCCCACTTTGTGCGTACTGTGCTGCTCCCTAAATCAGGGGGTGTGGTGGAGCGCTCCAAGGATTTCCGGCGGGAATGTAGGGAGAAGCATATCCGTGAGTATTTCTATGGATTCCGGGGCTGCTTTTATCCCCATGCCTTCCATGTCAAATTTTCAGATGTGAAAATCTACAAAGTTGGGGCACCCGCCGTTCCAGACTCCTGTTTGCCTCTGGGCATGTCTCAGGAGGACAATCAGCTGAAGCTAGTACCTGTCACCCCTGGCCGAGATATGGTGCACCACCTCCTGAGTGTCAGCACTGCTGAGGGCACAGAGGAGAACCTCTCTGAGACCAGTGTGGCCGGTTTCATCGTGGTGACCAGTGTGGACCTGGAGCATCAAGTGTTTACTGTTCTCTCTCCAGCCCCCTGTCCACTGCCCAAGAGCTTCCTTCTCATCATGGATATCCGGTTCATGGATCTTAAATAGAGATCAGGGAGTCTTGCTGCCTGGGGCATGGAGATCTGTGGCCATCACAGAGACAGATGGGCTGAAGAGGGAGAGTCTTTTGAGGCCAGGCTGACCAGTAAATAGTGGACTAGTAAAAAGCATATATTCTACCTCTTAAAACAGGTGGTGGTGACTTAACTACTAATCTTGAGTCAAAAGGAAAACCATGAGACTATGATTGGTTTCTTAGATCACCTAAGGTGCCACTTCAAATTCTCTAAGGCCCTGGAGAATCCCGTTTCTTTAACCAGTTACTGTGTGGACTCATTTTTTAAAATCACTGCTTTATATGCTATATATAGTATTTGTTACCTTATTTTTCCAGGATGTACGAGTGTATTAGAAGGACTCTTTACAATAAAATTCAAACTTGGAAAAAAATATATAAATCTTTGTTTTACTATAGTTGCAAATATCAAAAAATTTCTATATGTGACACGGCACCAGAATTAAGTTAGGGTTTTTCAAAATGCTGACACGCCAAGCTCAAAAGGTTCGCCATCACTGATATAGGCCTAACCAATGGATACAGACAAGAGGGGGGTGAGGGCATGAGTGGGGGGCTGGGGGATAATGTGGGGATAAGGACACATATGTAATAATCAAGAAAAAATTTAAAATAAAATAAAAACTTACCCTCTCTTAAATAGTGTTATTATTTATTTGATTACTTATTCATGTTTCTTCACTTCACCAACATCTATCCTCAGGATCTAGAACAACAACTTTCACATAATATGTACTCAACAAATAGTAGTTGAATGAAGGAAGAAAGTCCTGCAACAGCCTCCAGTGACTTCTAAACTTTTTTTTAACCTTGACCTACAGGAAGAAAAACAGTTAACACTGTGATCCAGTAAAGACTCACCCTCATGCCCTTGCCCTAACTGGTTTGGCTCAGTGGATAGAGCGTCGGCCTGCGAACTCAAGGGTCCCAGGTTCGATTCCGGTCAAGGGCCTGTACCTTGGTTGCGAGCACATCCCCAGTAGGGGGTGTGCAGGAGGCAGCTGATCGGTGTTTCTCTCTTATCGATGTTTCTAACTCTCTATACCTCTCCCTTCCTCTCTGTAAAAAATCAATAAAAATATATTAAAAAAAAAAAGACTCATGCTGTAACCGGTTTAGCTCAGTGGATAGAGCATCGGCCTGTGACTTAAGGGTCCCAGGTTCGATTCTGGTCAAGGGCATGTACCTTGGTTGCGGGCACATCCCCAGTTCGGGGTGTGTAGGAGGCAGCTGATCAATGTTTCTCTCTCACTGATGTTTCTAACTCTCTATCCCTCTCCCTTCCTCTCTGTAAAAAATCAATAAAATATATATATTAAAAAAAAAAGACTCACCCTCATGAATGTATACATATATAATTAAAAATATTTCCCAGCTGGCATGGCTCAGTGGTTGAGAGTCAACCTATAAACCAGGAGGTCAAGGTTCAATTCCTGGTTGCTAGCTCAGTCCCTAGTGGGGGCCATGCAGGAGGCAGCCTATCAATGATTCTCTCTCATCATTGATGTTTCTCTCTCTCTCCTTCTCCCTCCTCTCTGAAATCAATAAAAAAATATTTTAAAAAAGTATTATTATGTGTGGTGCTGTCTGATTATGTGTGAAGTTGCCGAATATTATTTATTATGTCCTATTATGTTTCATTCAAAAAAAAAACCTCTGCCATTTAAGTAAACTTTAAATTTGATTTGAGCATCCACTAATGGGACTTAACCAGAAGTTTGACAAACACTGCCCTAATGCATCCTCCACAGCCAGAGTGTTCTTACTAACTCAGAAGTCTTGTCATGTTACTTCCCTGCAAAAGTCCTTCAGTGGCAATCTGTTAGTCTCAGGCAGTTTTTCCCAAACATCAGTCATTTATGGCTGTTCATGTACCAGCTATCATATAATATATTCAATTTTTGTTTGTAAATTGAAACACTTTTGTCACTCAGCCTCATCTTAAGCAATAATGTAAGAGAAGTAATACGTTAGACGCATGAATTATATATTTTTCTAGTGCATAGTAAATCCATTCACTACCCAAATAAAAACCACCGGACTGTGTGCCACCTAAAATCCTCTTGTTTATCACCCAGCCACACTTTGGGGAAACCTGCTCTCAGGGTAAAGGTCAGATGCCTCAGCTTAGCCCAGGAGGCACTCTGAAGCTTGCCGGTGCTTTCCGCGGCAGTCTCATTTTCTTTTACCACTTCCTGCATTCATTCATTCTGAATGACTGGCAGGTCCCTGAATGCACTAAGCTCTCTTTGGCTCTAGGACTCTGTACTGCCACCTCCTTCCTCTGCCTAGAGCTCCACCAGAACCCCCACTCACTCCCTTTCAGGTCTTAGCTAACATGTCGCCTTGAGAAAGCAGTCCTGGCCGCGGGGCTGGGCTGGGTGTCCCCCAGGACCCTATGCTTAGCCCTGTCTGGGAGCGTGTCCCCCTGAAGTGAAGCAGTTTCTGCACCATGTTTCACTTCAGCTGAAGACTGTGCTCCTCTTGGGGAGGAAGAGTATTTTATTTTCCATACTATGTCTAGTGTTTGGAACAGCACCATAAATTTAATAACGATCTGGTTGAGGAACAAAAGGACACCTGTATGGATTTCTCAAGGAAATGAATATTGCTGATGCTCAGCATGTTGTCTGAAACATACTAGGCATTCAAAAATGTTGTTAAGTGATTGAAAGAAGTGAGGGCTGATCCTCACCCTGGGAACATTACTTTCAAAAAAATTATTTGAGAGATGGTCTCAAATTCTAATGTCTTTGCTCAATGTGCCATTATTCTCTCCTTCTTGCCCAGGAAGGTCAGAAATGAGGTCAGAATGTGTGTCTGAGGCCTAAGAGACTTTTGGTCCCTTGGTAAACAAGCCTGCGTATCGAGGACCGGCCTGTCGGGAAAGCCACAGCACCACGGGGAGAAGTAGCTATAAAGTAAATAGCAAATGTTTGACTTGATCTTAAAATCCCTGCTTCACACACGGGTTCAGCACATTCAATGTCATTTTACTATACATTCAGAATTTGATGCCATTATTCCTCTTTGCTGAGATTCTAGAATACAGCCTATGCGATTTTTAAGGCTGATGGTAATAATTTTTCTTAGAATGTGTGCCATAGGGATATATGATAAAGGTTTTTACAGTAACTAAATTGTACTCCAAGACTTTTATTTTTCTTTTCTCTGTTAGCTCTACTATCTGGCACCTTGGGGGATGGGGCATTTGGTATACATGGAGGCTCCAAATAACTGATGTTTAATGTTGTCAGCACCAAACCATTATAAAACAAAAGATATGGACACTTTCCCAATATGCCCTATACTTCCCAGGCTTTTCAAGCAAATGCCCCAAATATTAACTGCTGCGTGCTGACTTGGGCTCTCCCTATGGAATCAGTTACTTGGGTGTCGTATCTGTTCATGCCAGAGGTCTGCGGAGCACTCATGCAGACTCAGATGCTACGGAGCCTCAGGCTAAGTGGGTGATGACTTCAGCTGTGACACTGAAATTCATTTTTTTTTTTTTGCAAACCAAACCAAACCCCAAATCAGCTGATTTCTAAGTCCTCCCTCCCCTTTTTTTCTTGGGTGGAGTAGATGATGTGTATTGGTTCTCCATTTTTATAATCATCATGGAAGACGTATTCACAATTATAAAACAGATTCCTCTCCTTTTCATGAGGGAAGAATAAAGCTTATGTAGCCGTACAGTTGTTTTCGGAAAACTATAAAATAACTGTCTTTATGAAACGTTAGCGAAAGAAAAGGTAAAACAGCCTTTTCCCACCAGACAACCATCTACTCTTCATTTCATTCGATATCACTACTATAGATCACTTCTACCTACTTTTCAGTTTGCATTTGCTCTTCAGCCTTACTTGTTCACATTTTTTCATGGGGCATGAGGATTATTTTACAACCATTTCAAGGTGTGTGTGTGTGTGTGTGTGTGTGTGTGTGTGTGTGTGTGAAAGGACTAGCTGCAAAGCTTACACGTTTTTTAATTATCAGGAGATAAGTGCTTCTCTAAGTATAAAAGTCCTGCATAATGTTTTATATTTGTACAGATCTTGACAGGAACGTTTTTAGATGTATAAACAAGGTGGAAAGTATTGTTTTGGTATCAGAATGATATGCTAGTTTATAGGATCCATTAGTGAGGGAACCCAAAGCACCCTCTCTATACCTCTGTTTTTACAGAGTATTATGCTGACATTATTGCTTTTTTAAACCTGCCTCCTCCATTAGTCTGAGAGCTTCACATGGGCTTACACCATGTCCTAGCCTTCTTCGCACCCAGCCCTTGTGTTCTTATGTATCTGCATGGTCTTCAGGAAAGTGTAAAACAGTTGCCTTTATGAAAAATCAATTAGCAAACGAAAAGATAACACAGTCTCCACCCCAGCACTTCATTCTTTTCTTTCAAAAAAAATATTTTTATTGATTTCAGAGAGGAAGGGAGAGAGAGGGAGAGAGAGATAGAAACATCAATGATGAGAGAGAATCATTGATCAGCTGCTTCCTGCACGCCCCCCACGGGGATCGAGCCTGTAACCCAGGCATGTGCCCTTGACCAGAATCGAACCCAGGACCCTTCAGTCTGCAGGTTGATGATGCTCTATGCACTGAGCCAAACCAGTGAGGGCCAGCACATCATTCTTGTGTTCTTGCACATCTTGACCTTTCACTCCTGTATTCCCCCTGAATCCTTCTAAACCATAGTGATCTCAGAGCTGATGAACCCAGTGCAAGCCAGTGCCTTTTACCTCTTCTGTTGTTTTGCACGTGCGCTTTAGTAAATGTTTACTCTGAACATTGGAAGGTAGGAAACTGACTCCTTTGTGTTGGTCTCCATAATGGTTTAAAAGCAACAGGGTAGTTTTAATATTCCCTGGTAAGCCCAGAATTCTAACATGCTTTTAAATTTAAATTTTAAAAAGATAGTACAAACAAGAAAGAAAACGTTCATCGCTACATTGTATCACGTTATCTGGCAATAAGCAAATGTATAAAATCTTTAAAAGCTCTAGAGTAATAAAAAGTTTCCAACTGCTATTCTATTTTATGAAAACTCACAGATTTAATATATTAGTAGTTAATTGTCTTCATTCTGCTAAAGTTTGGGAAAGGATAGGTGGGAACTTGATTCACTGGTATTTGTTGAGTAGAAGCATCTTTACAATAGCCCAACTTCATCAGCTTTACACATAAACTTATTCAGGCAAAGACTGTGCTCAGAAATAAATTCTCTGAGTAATGT